TTAGATTTTGACGCAGATCTTTTGGTCGAATCTCTTAATTCCGGGACAATTTAAATTTTATTTCTATTTTTATTTTTTTTTATTTCTATTATTATTTAATCTATTCTTATTTCATTATGTTTATTATTTTTATTTTTATTAATTCTATTTATTTATCAATAACGTGTATAATTATTTATTACCATCTGAATTCGTGTTACGTTTCGCGTATCATTATTATTATTAATCAATCCGTAGCACATTCATATTTATTTAACTTTATTTAGTAAATTAATGACGATTCTCCCGGAACGGGCGGAATCGCTCAAAACGTGCGGATTCGCCCAAGTACAAAGTGTACGAATTCGCACAATCTGGGCGGAATCGCCCAAACCGAGCGGATTCGCGCAATTCGGCTAATATGTAAAGAACATGTATATAAAAAACTTGATTTCGACCTAATGTAAAAGTAACTTGATATCAAGTTAATTAGTTTCGACTAAATAAAACTAAATAAATAAAATAGAAATATTTTATTTAAACTTTTATCTTCTTTAACCAAAATTATTCGCTAATAACAAAATCAATTCGTTGATCCCCTATTCATTCTGATCCACGCAAAAACAAAAATAATTGTTATCATCAATTAAAATACGCTCTCCCAAATTTAATCGGTGACACAAGTGATAAAAGTAAACATCGTAAAATACTTCCATATTACATTACTCCACCAACTCCACCTCATGACTGAATGTAAGATATACCAAAATATCGAATAAATAAATAGTTGCTAAAAATTAGAAACAGTTGAGATGTAAATTATATTTAGTCAACATGTCTTCTATAAAAGAATCAAAGAACCAAAACCATTCACATAATTCTTTTTTTATCACATCTATTTAAAAGATAGTCTTCAAATTGATAATTTAACCTAAAATTAAGTAGTAAATTATTTTTCTTCCAATTTTCTTTTCTTTTTACGTAAGTTCCTTGTGGTTTTTGTGTTGATGCTTATTAATTTTCTAATTCATATAGATGATTTTCACTTTCTTTAGATGAATTTCCAGTGTCTAAATATCATTTATTTTCTCTTCAAAATGCTTCTAATGGTGCTATAATTCTTGGGTTCCATAGCAGATATGATATAAATGAGTTCCATATTAACTATTTTTATCTAGAGACAAAATGAATATCATCATCATATTACATTGGAAACTAGGGATGGAAACGGTTTAACCCAAACCAGTTCAACCAGCAGTTTGAAACTGGACCAATGTGGTTTGGTTTACACATTTCAAACTGCGGTTTATTGAACCAGTTAAACTCCAGTTCAAACTCTGATTTTTGAAACTGAGCTGGTTACACATTACATTTCAAAATTGTTCATTTTATATCATTTTATTTGTTTTATAAAATATAAAATGTAAAATTATAAATTAAGGTCTTATTTCTTTTAACAAGATAATTTAATTACATTTATAATCTACTATGGCTACTAGTACTATGACTTAAGAAAAGAAAGATGTCAGCTACTATTATTTACTATTATTATCATTATATACAAGGGCTAAGAAGGAGAAATAGATTGATAAAGAAAAAATATTTTAATTGAATTACCAATTTTATTCAAATCATTCATTTTATTAATTTTATTTTATTTATTAGTTTTATTTAAATTATTAATTTTATTCAAATTACATATTAGTTTATTTAAAAATCCTGTGGTCCTAAAGTTTGAATTGGATCTGATAATAAAATTTAACTATGTTTATTTTTTTATTGTTCATAAAAGAAAATTATGAATTTTTAATAATATATAATATTCCATGAATCTTTACTTGTAATGCTGTACATGCAATAAAAAGTCTTTTTAGAAGAATTAGATTTATCATAAAAAATATTGAGCATAACAACTGACAGTGCAGCAGCAATTGGTAATGTTGTGCATGAAAATTAGTTAAATTTTGGGTGGTTACAATTTCCAATTGGCTAATTTGAGCATGACTTTCAAATAATTTGGAGGGGAAATAAGAAATGAATGTTTTTACAAATAATAATAATGGTTATACCATTGTGGTTCCCACATATTCAATATTGCTGTATGGTATGGATTGCAAGTTCATGATGAGACAGTCACTAAAGTGCATAATTTATGAAGGAGGTCGTAATTCTATAATCTTATGGAGGATTTTAACAGATATTTCAATCACAATTAATTGAATTATTGTGCTACAACTTGATATAGAGATCAGGTGGAACTCCAGCTATTTGATGCAAACAATTTAAAGTACAAGCAAATATGTAGAGAATAGATAGTAGTGGTGTTTAAAATAGCCTTAATTGTTGGAACAAATTTTTCATTTTTATAAAAATAGATCACCAATAAAATTATAAAACTGCAGTTAAGCTTGGGTTTGAACTGCAGTTCAAACTGTGGTGGTAAAATGCCAGTCGGTGCAGTTCACTAGCCAAACTGGCAGTTTATAAACCGAACCAAACCATTCCCATCCCTACATTCAACTCAGCTTTAAAAAAGGAGTTGATTTATAACATAAAAAAAATTTAGTCTCATTTTTAGTCAAAGATCTTTCTTAATTTGGAAAATAATAAATTTAAAAGTTTCAAAAGATTTATTTAAGATAAAAAACAAAAAAGAAATTAGATTAAAATAAAAGAATAGTTAAATTTTAATTTCATCATACACAGAATCAGGAACTCTCCTGTGATGATCTATAATTTTTCGCTGCAAACTCAGCTAACCTTCCTGAAATTCCCTTTCTATAAACATCCATATATCTCCAGCTTTTTTGTGCATAACGATGAATTGTTGTTAAGGATACTGAATTTAATGCTTCTGGTACAACTATTTGTAAATTTGACCACTTATAATCACAATTATTTCTTTGCAGCTCCCCAAAACATTAGATATAAGTATTACGATAAAGAAAGAAATTTTCTGTATTTCAAATGAGTTTTTTACACCACTGGTATTTTTAATCCATTAAATCTTTCCATACATTGACACTAAAATATACAGTCGTACTATAAATAGATGCTTAATTTGAAAGTCCGAACTTTTAAGTCAAATTCACTTTATATAATTGGCTTTTACATCACATCATGTCATGTAAAAAAAAAGTTTATTCTTTACAAATAGTGATGGTATATTTCCTAAAATAGTAAAGATAAATAAATTCTGATTGGCTAATAATTTATTCACGCGATTTAAAAATAATAGTGAGTGTTTCATGAATAGGTGTTCCCGTGCTCACTGGAACAGAAACTTAACAACTATGGTCGCAACATTTTACATACAATCAATTACTTTGGCAAAATAGTGACTCAAATTTTAATTAATTTGTCAAAACTTTTTTTAAATTTTTTTTTCTCAAAAAAAAAAAATAGTATAGAGCTCTTCCTTTTTTTTTTAAAGTCTTTAATTACTCTTTTATGGAAATATTATCCAAATTCAAATTTTTTAGTTTTTCTTGTGCTACCTGGATTTTACTTGTTGCTTCTTCAATAAGTTCCATCCTAATAAAGTACATGATTAATCGATTGATTGATATTGATTACCACAAAAAAAAAATATCAAGATTTATTCTTACTCTTTGTCTAAAGCAGTTTCAACTTTGTGTAATTGACTTCCGGTAAGTAAATGAATTTGATTAGAATTAGAACGATTTGATTTTGACTTTGGCTGATTGTATTTAGACAGTTTTGAGTGCCGTGATTGTATCTTTAAATATATAAAAGTTTTTTTTTTTTTTAAAAACAATTATGATTAAATATATTATATTATATATATATATATATATTATATAAAACAAATTTACCTGTTTTACTTTAGCTTTTAAACCATTTTCATCATTTAAATCTTCTTGAACTCGATTTAACATATCAAAATACTCATTTTCAAATTCTCCGAGAATTGGATTTGATTGAATTATTCTTTTTTGAAGTATTTGATTGGCTTTACTTTCTAGAAAAGAATGTTTTTGTTTGATTTTATTTACACGATCATCCAATTCTGAATTAATATGTTTATTCTCTTCCATGGTATTTTTAAGATCCTGTAAAAGATCTGCTTGATGTTTTATCATTTGAAATTGTAATTTTATTCTTAAAATAAAAATAACTCAAGCCAGTTAGTTATATTACATGTGTATAAGGAAATATATAAATCAATATAAATACCTATTAATTAATATGTGAGCAGAAGATTTAATTGGTATTATTTCATTAACAATTGTTAACGAAATCCCTCTTATCAATTCACTATTAACCCTATCAAATTCTTTGGATGATTGTTTATTGCCAATTTGTGACAAAAGAATTGGTTGACGAGTTAATCCTTGAGAAGTTAGAACTTCTTGTAGTTTGATTGGAAACTCTAGTTTATCTGTTTCGGGAAATCCCATACTTTTCAAACGAGTAACATCATCAATTGACAATTTAATTGGTGTGGTTCTACTCTCTAAAGGAAATCCTTTTAGTTGCAGCGTGGAAGTTAATATCAGAACCAAATATCCTAGATGAGCATTATCAACTATCATTAAACCTATTAAAGGATCTGGATTACTATTTAACATAATTTATAGGTTAAAAATAATTAAATAATATTTTTTTATATATATAAATAAATATATATAAAGTTACCTAGGAATCACACAAGCAATCCAACTAACTTCTGATTTTTTTTGATTTTTAAAAAATTGTCCCATCGCTGAACTATTACTATTACTATTATCATCATCCTTACTACTACTACTACTACCACCATTATTATTATTTTTATTATCATCATTAATAGTATCTGTGATAATTTCTTCCAAATCCTTTAACCAATTACCAAGTCGAATTGCATGAACGCCTGCAAAATTACACACATAAAACATGTCTTTGTATTGAGGGTCTTCTAATAGAACTGGATGATTTAATGAAGTTGTAATTTTACTTGAGAAGGGACTATTTGAAGTTGGTGTAACAAAACTTTTAATAAATCCTAAATCAATGCTTTCATATAATAAAAGAACAGGAGAGTCAATGAATTCGTTTAATCCCTAATAAAATAAATAAATAAATCATTTATATTTGTATATAATAATTATAATAATAAAATTATTAATATTATAAAATTTATTTATTATATATATATTTATTTCCAACAAGCAATAAAATGACAATGTACCTGAATTTCCCAAAATGCTTCAATTTTATCAACTTCAAGAAAGATATCTAATCTACCATTACTAGAAGCTATAACAATTACACTAGTGGGTTGAGTATTCAAATAGATTATGTCACTTGCATCAAAAGGATGATGTGATAGTTCCAAAGGATTTGGTCTCATTGAAAATGGTCCTTGCAACAATAAATCATTTTGAATATTTGCAGGAGAAGAAAATTCTACCTTGTATGATGATGATGGTGGTGATGGTGATGGAAGTTTACTAATTTGTTGAGACACATCACAAATCCATCTGTATTGCAAATGATATTGATTATACAAATAATCATACATATGAAGATTTGAATTAGATGGTAAACGTTTTTCAGCCTCTTGATATTTTTTAAAAATTATGCAACTTAGTTGCTCGATAAATATTCTACTAATAAAGCTTTAATTCATTAAATTATTAAATTGTTAATAATTGGATTTAATATAATAATATTTTGTAAAAGAAAAATAAATTTTTTTACCAATTTTTTGGTACTATTGGACACATTGCATAAACATCTCCGTTATCAAATAAAACATATACAGTAAAATTAGACCAGCCTTTATCACCTTGACCAAAACAAAAAGAAACTGCTTTTGGTATTTCAGCACCAAAAGAAAAAGTTTTTTTTGGATTTTCACTGAAACAAAATTTCTGTTCTGGCTCATTACAATCATTAGATATATTGTACATCCTATCATTTCACAGATAAATAAGTATAAGTAAAAATTTTGTTTTTTTTATAATAAGAATTATATAAATAAATCTAATATATTGCCTTAATATTGCATCTTCAGTCAAAACCAATAAATGAGGTATTCTAGTTAGTGGATGCCATAATATCTTTGAAATAGGACTTGATCCTTCCATATGATGAAAAGATCCAATTGGATATGTTCTATTTATTTTGATAATTATTTTGTAAATATTAAATTAATCTTTTCATTTATATCAATAAATAATATGTAAAAATTCTTACACACAATCAACTTTTTTTTCTGATGCTGATAAATTAAATTTAACTAATGGTAATCGAACTACCGCCAATTCGTAATCACCAGCAACCGAAATCACATTCCCTTTTTCTTTAAAATTTACTATTAAAGATCTAATTTTAAATTTAATTTTTGGTGTATTAAGTACTATATATTTAACATTCAACATCCATTTTGGTACATGATGATGACTATCATTATCGTCATCATTGTCATGGTTACTGTCATCGCTTTCAGACATTTCATGCAGTTCATCATTTTCATTCGCATATTGCCAAGCATCTTTAAACTCCAATAAATTTAATATTCTTATTTCGGATCCTACAGCTAATATAAGATTATTTCCCTCAATAGCTATACATGATTGTTTTCTTTTTGGTTTTCCATAATTCTCCAATCCTATTGCTTTTTATGTTTGATTAGAGAGATGATTTTTTTTTTTTAAATTTTTATAAGTAGCTATTTTTGTTTGGAGACAAGCTTATTTATTGATTGTACTTACTATCTCCTGATAATTTTACACTGTCAGAATAAAAAACCGGATGATCACCAACATATTCTAACCAACTTGAATTATCCATAATTTTAATTAATTAATTAATCAATTAAATTGTTTAATTTATTAATTTATTAATTGAAGAAAAAACAAAATGTTCTTTTTGATTTCAAAAAAATTTGTGATATTTTGACAGTGCGTGATTATTAATATTGTAAATTTTGTCACATGACAATTTTGGTAATCATGTAAAGTTACACAGAGAAACCCCAAAAATTGAATACTATCTTTTTACTGCAAGGTTACGAATACACTTGTTAAAAGTTTTTGAGACATTTAGATATTATTAAGGCGAATATCTGTTTTCTTGTTAACAAGTTATGAAGATTAGAAGCCAGGAATAAGCTTTATTAAAATCGCAGTGACATTATTTACGATTGCTTGAAATGGGGTTTAAATGAAAATCGGCTTAGTTGGGTCCACAACAAAGTGAAGGAACTTTTAGTTGTTTCACTGATGAACTTCTAGTTCGTTGTGGCTGCTGGATTTCGTTAGTAGGTGAAGACTCTAAATGGCTTTTAGTCATCCACAATAAGGAAATGTTACTAATTCGTTCTGGCTTGTTGTATAATAAGCCAAGATTTTGCGGAGAAAAATGGCAAATTTACAATTTAGCCCATAAACGCAATTAAATTTCCAAATGTATAATGGTCGACGTGGCTCGATATTGATATCAAATATTTACAAGAAAAACTATGTATAATGAGACTTCAGATGATCCTTTGAGTTAATTTTAACTGAAATCAAATTATTCATATTCTTCGTCTTTTTATGAAAGGGCGTTTCTCAAACCATTAAATAAAACCAACAGTATGTTAGTTCCTTGAATGATAGTGCCACTACTTGAAACGTGTTGTATTTGTTGTATCCTCGGATTAATTAGCCTGAACCTGTGGAAGGACGTAAACGAGCTCATGAAAATGATGACGAATTATTAGAAACATGTAATAAATTTAAATTCACACGGCCGGCTTTAATTTATCTTTATTTATGGTAATACATTTAAAATTCTTTGTATTTTGCTCACATTCGCCCATATTAATAATAATAATGACATAGAAATTTTGCATGCATACTCTACAGGACCTATGCTACAAGCTATCTATACTTATTATGTGTGCTTTTGCGTAATTGGTTCTCCGAAATTTTGCTTGCAATGTACCATTTGATCTAATAAAATCTATTTGAATCTACTAAAACAAATAAAGGATAAATTTATTTATTATTTATCAAAAAAAGAAATAAAGGAACTTTAAAGAATATAAATATGATTGATTTTGGACTGATCAAAAAAAATTTACAACATTAAAAATAATTAAACTTTATACGTTTAATGATATTATTTTGAATAAAATCTTTAAAAATAATGCTATATACTTGTGTGATCGACTCAATCATTAACACACAAAATTAATTATTTCGCAATAAAGGCTATTTGTTTGTTTATTTTATTTGAATTTATTTGTTTTGTTCGTTTGTTCGTTTTGTTCGTTTTGTTCTAATTATTCGTTTTATTCGTTTTATTCGTTTTATTCGTTTTATTCGTTTTATTCGAATTATTTGTTTTATTCCAATAAACCTTATTCGAATAGAAACCCTAAATTATGATGTTATTTTAGTACAAAGAGCTTTAGAAATATTTAATTACAATACAAAAGAGCTATTGTAATTGGTTTATTAAATTAAGCCAATAATTTAAGAAGAATATTTGATAAATATTGGCACTTTCAATATTTACTAATAGGCTTTTAGGCTATATGATAAAAATACTAAGGATATTTTATTACCTTATCAGTATGCCAATATCTTAATTATTTTTTTAAGAAATATCAGATTCTGATATTTACTGATATTCCAATAATAATATTATTAACGATTACGAGAGCAAAATATCAATCGTTCATTCGTTATCATCTTGACAAGGATCTTATAATTACCAGCAGGATCTGCTCCGCCAAATAATAATTATTTTATATACATTTTTTTTACGTGTTGGCTTTTTTTTTTTTTTATAAAAAAGAAATAGAAATAAAGAAAATCAACGGGAGGCAGTTGCTGGGTAAGTGTTTATCATAAGAATGGTGGTGGTGGTTATCGCCACTCGTCGTCACTCTAGTTTTAATATTCAATAAATAAATTTTTTTCATTTAGAACTTCATCTCGCCAAAAAATAAGTTTGCCCTTGGAACTTATGACTGAAATATCTAAATATATTGAAAATGATTATAAAACAATATATTCATGTACACTTGTCGACAAACAATGGCACAGTATCAATATTCCTATTTTATGGAGAAATCCATTTTATTCGTATAAAAGCATCAAAATATTAATCAATTGCTTATTGAAAGAAGATAAGGATTACTTAACAGGAATTAAATTGATTTTTAAACTATTGGAAAAACCACCATTATACAATCATGCAGATTTTGTACTATAATTTCTATCAGTTATGGTCTTAGAAAAATTCCTTTACAAAATAAATCAATAAAATTTATTTTAGATCATTCAGTAGGTATTAGAAGACTTTAGTGTTAGTAATTTATATTATAATTTTTTAATTAATCATCATAGATTTGATGATTGTTTTCAGAGCCTTTATGGAATAGATTGGGATAGTTCTTATAATGGTGAATTTTTTGATAATTAACAAATACCTGTAAAGATAAAGAATATGTTATGCTGCTAAAGATGATAAAGATTTATACGAATTAAATATTTCAGAAAGAAACCCAATTTTACCAGGTGAACTAAAAAAAGCAATATTAACATACTCACAATCAATAATTTTTTATGGATCTTGTTGCAAAGGAAATAATTTAGATGATTTATTATTATCAACTTTTAAAAATTTAAAAACTTTAGAGTTAAGATCTCATTCTGGCAAAGTAAAAAGTTGGAAAAAATATAAAAAATATTTCATTTCCAAATATTGAAGCTGTGAAGTTATATTTTTACAATCAACAATTTCTTGACTTGTCTGATTTTATTATAATAATACAAACGGATAAATCTTAAAACATGGATGTTAACAATTTACAATATGATCATAAATATGCATGTTAGCCGAAATTGCCTCTCTTAATATTAATAAATGATCATCACCGGATCCGAAATGCCAAAATAGTTTTCCCCAAATATATACTAATACTAAAAACAAACAAGTAATAATCGTCCAATTGTTTTTATTTATTTGGTCATGTGCCACATAATGTACCTGGTAGATTAAAAGATTTATCAATCAATCTTTTACAGAGATATCTTTGTAAAATCTTCAAAGGAATAAAAACAATTTAATTACTCGTGATAAATAACAATGCCTTATCAAGCCTTTTCCGAGACAGGTGATACTGTTGTTAACATGGAGGATGAGGAAGGAGTTAACGAGAATAGCCCTTTGTATCCCTTTGGCGTTCCTGTTATTTTATTGAATGTTAAATCTCAAATGGGTAACTAATAATTATTTTTTATATATAATATAATAATATTATTATCATTGTAATATATTTTTAAATGGACGATTTATATGTTTTTCATAGCATTTGTTCGTAAAGTTTCTATGATCTTTGCATTGCAACTTATAGTCACTATAGCATTTACAGGTTTATTATTATATCAGTATCATTGGAGACATTTTATTCAAAGATTGTAAGTTTAATATTGTTATTATGATTTATTTATTTGTTTATTTGTTGATTGATCAATATATAACAATGATTATACATTATTCTTTAGTGATTGGTGTTATCCAATACTCCCAGTTTTATCACTTATTTTGTTGGTTGGAATTACATGGAAATCAAATGATAGTTTTCAACCGCCTTGGTATTTAGTTGTTTTATACACTCTACTTAATGCTGTTATTATTGCTGCTCCTAGTAAGTATTTAAGAATAGATTAGCGATTATTAATTAGTTAAAAATTGATTGATTGATTAATTGATTATAAATATCCAATTCTTATTTAATTTAGCATCATTGTTGAGATTATTCTGTGTGCTTGACACTTTAATCATATTATTGGTAGTTGCAACATTTATTATTATTGGATATACAAATCAATACACTTATAGATTTAAAAGTAAAGCAACAATGTAAGTTATATATAATATTTGTATTATATTTGTGTGTGTGTATAAATAATAATAATAATTTTTATTATTATTATCATCCATCATCTTAATTATAATTATAGCATAACGGTACTAATAGTGATTGCAATAACCACTTTGGTTTTACATCCATGGTTTTTTACATTTTGGGATGCTATACCAGCAGTTATTTTCTCGACTTTATTATCACTCTTTGTTATATTGGATAATTGGTATATGTTGAAAACAATGAGTAAGGGTGATTATATGGCTGCCAGTATGCAAACCTACTTGGATTTAATAGTACCATTTAGAAGTATACATCATCTTTGTGAATTAACGGCTGAATTTGATGATGATACTGATGATGAAAATGATTATGTTGATAATGTTGTTGGTGTTAATCGTAATCATAGGACATGAAATATTTAACTTATTAATTTATGTTATTATTATCATTATATACATACATACATATATATATATATTGTATTATTATATTATTCAATTTTTTGAAAAATTTGTCAATGAATGACTTTAATTGAAAATTGTAATAAAGTGTGACTTTACATAGGGTTTTTTATTCCAAGAATTCGATCACAAAAAAATTATTATTTTGGAAAGATTCTTGACTTAGTATTTAGAACTAATCCTTAAATGAAAATATAGACATATAAATCATTTATATCAGATCCATCACCATGGAACCCAAGAATAGTACAATCAAAAGTATTTTGAAGAATAAGATGAAAAAATTGTTTTTATTTTATTTTCATATGAGCCTTTTAGAAAAAGTCAATGCCCTGAACACAGTGTATTTTTAGTAAAATCTTGTCCTGGAAGCATGTTGAGAAGCTCTAACTACGTCTGGGTTAATGATAATTGCAAATTCATGGTAAATTGCTATTAGACATGTAAATACGCAGTAAAGAGGTATCACCAAGTATACCACTAAAGTGAAATGCTGATAGACATGATGTACTTTATCTTCCTGATAGAAGAAATGTTGGAGCGGTTGCTTTAATTCCATTTGAACAATAACTTGGTGAATAAAACCCTTTACAAAATTATAAATCAGGGCCAGTGCATAACCACTACATATCTATTAAGCTGGGTTAAGCTAAGAATGTCCAACAAATTCCTTACCATTCTTATTGGACTAGAACTACCAATACCAACACAAACAGGTAAAATCATAAACTAAAAGTCATCTCACTATCTCATCTCCACTTATAACTTTTCATCTATCTTAAAGTTAAAATGTTGTTAAACACCTTTACTAAACCTTGTTGATGATTGCATAATCGTATTACATAAATTTATGAAATAGTGCTTTTCACATAAAAATCTTTATAATTTTTTTCTTTTGCTGATGGGACAAAATTAATTATTTTGTATTGCTGGTAAACATATAGTAGACCATAAATAAAAGTCAACAATGATAACAATTTAGAAAGTAATTTTCATAAAAAAATAAAATAAAATAATACAAAAAATTTATTAAGAGCCTGGCCTCCTTTAAATCAAAGTATGATTGATTTATGTAGAATTAAAAGCATATTAGAAGAATCTTTAATACTGTTGATTCGTCTGAGTCACTGTCTGAATTGCTTTCCGAATCACTAACTATTGTTGAGTCACTACTTTCACTATGACTATCTTCTTCTTCAATTGTAGGTTCCGGAGAACTTTGAGGTACCTCGTCTAATGCTATTCTAAAGTGGTGAGTTTCTCTAGCTGCTGAAAAGTAATCCCGAACTATTGTATTTAAACTTTTCGGATATACTCTGTATCTAACACTAATTAATAATACTCTGACAAGTTGTATTAGTCGAACTGGACCTTGTTCTAATAATATTTGTTCGAAAGTGGTTACAATTTCTGAAGTGCACTCTATCGCTTGATGTGTTTCTTGTATCCAATCCCAAAAGATTAGGAAAAATTCCGATTGATAGGTGACAAATTGAGCAAGATATATTACTATGTGCTTGTGATATATCTCTGATGTGTGAGTATTGTTGATGTACTTGGTTATGGATCCTTATGTTTTCCCGGATGATTTGGATAGTTTCTTGACTAGGATCTATGTTCATTCAATTAATCCTCGTAAGGATCTTCGTCGTAAGGTACTTCGTCAGGGATATCTTCCAAATGTACCTCTTTTGGAGAAACTAATTCTTCTTTAATTAATTGTTCTTCTTCTTTCTTTACTAATTTCTGGAAGACAAATTCTATCTCTTCCTCCTCAGTTAGCCCTTGCAAGTTGCAATTTCTTTTTATGTGCCCTTTAATCCCGCAGGAATAACACTTCTTGTTTTGGTGGTAATTTACAATTGGTTTTTCTTCTTGATAATGTAACTGAAATAGTTGCTGGGATTTCTGTAGAAATATTGAAATACCAGATCAATTAATTTCTTATCCTTGATTTTTTATTCAAAGATTTGATTGTAAACAAGATCAAAGATTTTTGACTTAATTATTTCTGAATTATTCTCTTTCAATTGCATTTAAATTTAAGAAATTAATAATAAAAAGATAAAGGCAACCTCGTAAGATAAGAATAAAAATAAAATAAGAGATAAAATAATTAACCTCAAAAGGTAATATATAGAATGAAAAAATAAAAGCTACCTCGCAAGGTAATAAAATAAAAATAAAAATTGAAAATGTAAAAAAATAAAATAAAGGAATTAAAAATAATTCAAAAAGAATTCCGCAGAATTTTGATTATAGCTTATCTTCCTTGGTGTAAATTTCCACACAATTCGCACCAAGTTGTCACCGATTAAATTTGGGAGAGTGTGCTTTAATGATGGTGATAATTATTTTTGTTTATGTGTGGATCAGATATATCTGTCCTGTGGTAACATATTTTCATCAATGGATACAGTTGAGTGTGGTAGTGTAAGGCCTTGTGTCTTGTGAACAGTGAGTGCAAATGCATTCTGAATTGGGAATTGCTTCCTGGATGCTGGTATTCCATTGATAGTGAAGTATGTGATTTCTCTTTGAACATTTATCTTTACAATATAGTTAGCTGTGGGGAAAGCAACCTCAACCTCATCATCATCAATTACCTTGGTGATTACTCCTATTGTCCCATTACATATTCCATGTTCAAACAATTTATTATTTAGGAACATTATGCAAGCACCTCCAACAAATATCATAAAAGAATCCTTCTGTATATCCTGGATCATGATGTCTTCATTGGAATTAAAGACCCTGAATGTAAAGTCCAAAAAATCATCATTGTCAAGTCTTGAAGTTGCCACACCATTCAAAACATTAGATCCACTTGCAGACTTTACAAATGCAATTGTAGATAAGACGGAAGACTTAATTATTTGAGTTTTATTTTTTATTTTTTTTAGATGTGATTTAAATTGTTTCGTGAGTATCAAATATTTTCTTTGCATCTAGTAGCCCATTCACTTAACCTTTTTATACAAACCCTTCTTCACTAGCCAAATCGTAATTCAATGAATGGCAGCACAAGAAACAATATGTTAATGTAGACATGACAATAAACGCGTCCACATGCGAAAAAAAAGAAAGACATAAAGTGTAAAAAATAAACACGTAGTTTATAGGTACATGTTCTTAACAATTTCGAACACATTAATTGACAGCAACAACAATCAATGATGGGCGTAGGAACACATGTTAACATTGCAGCATGGATGACATGGCAATAAGCATATCCACGTAGCATTAAAAAAAGAAAGATGTATGGTGTAAAAATAAACATGTAGTTGCATAGGTACATGTTCTTAACAAATTAGAACACGTTGAATGTTTACCAATGATTTCATAACAAACATGTTGATTGATCGGATAATGGTTCACAGCCATGATCTCATGCTTCTGAATCAAGAATCAACGGATAAATGTAGAGGTGCATTTGTTGGTTGGAACTTAAAATTGTTGAGCTTTTCATTAAAAACCAATGCAAAAACATGTTTCTTGCCATAAAAAAAAATGCTCAGAAGGCCCAAAATCATGTTTTATTGTCAATTTTCACAACAATTAGTTTAAAAGTTAGTTGTTAAGTAATTTCCAGCCAATTAAAATTATTAAAAAAAAATTATAATTTTGGTTTTTCTTATTCGATGTTTTTGATGAGTGTACAGTACACAAAAAAATAGATAATAATAATAATTATTTATTCAATTTTTAAAATTAATTTGTGGAAAAAAGTAAACAGGTTTTCACAGATCACAAACTTATAAAAAATCACCTATATAAAATGAACTACGCTCCCTCCTCCCTCTCTTCTCTTCTCTTCTCTTCTCTTCTCTTCTCTGCAAGTTTATAAGAAATTAATCTTTGCCGTATGACTCTAATATGCCAGAATAAGAAAAAACTGCAGATCTGATTGAAATATGGAGTTTTGGCAAGCAATAGTGACACGACGAGCATTCAATCTTTTATATGTGTTAAAAAAATTAAAAATTAAAATTGGTCTCATGCATGACATTGTTAAAATTGCTTTTATTTTTTTAATTCTATACATAAATATATCTCGCAAATCAAATACATCTGGTTAATAGTATAGTAATATCCTTTTGAGTACATGATTACTTTATAGACAAGCCTTTATTATTTTTAAAGTATCCTCTAGAAACGTCCGTACAAATTTTTGTGAATAAAAAATACATTATGCTGATTTACTTACCAACACATTGAAAACCTATTACACTGATATCTGCACCTTTATCATATGAGCACACCAATTCGAATGAGATCATTGCAGTTTTTGTACACGTTGTTTCTTTGTGATGGTGGACTAACCTCACCCATAAATATAACGGCTTCTGTCTGAAGTTAATGGATGACTGAGACAACAAATTCTGGTTATTGACCTTCAAACTTACTTTCATTTAGAGCCGTATTAGGCCATTGGACGTTGTGTTTGTCCGGATGATGGAAGGTACCCTTCATTATACAATCTAAATAATTTGTGGTTAATGTAATTTCACTAAGTTCATTCTTGATCTCCTTACTAGGTAATCTCTCCAGACCTTTCAAAATTATATAACCAAAATTCTCCTTCAAATTTTGATTACTTGCAAGTTCTTTAAAGAGCCAATCCATGGAGATTTGATCTTTCTATATATACAGTTGATTAGATTATTTATCACAGTGTTTTTTTTCTCTTGCTCTCTTAATTCGTGATACTGCAATAATTTCATAATAGAATTTGGCGCAAATTTTCGCAGATCACTAATTGAAATTTTCCGGAACCCATACTTC